TTATCATTGCAACGCAGTTTCTGCACTCTCTCTAATGCTTTCACCAATGCAGACACATGATGATGTACATACAGTAAGAACTTAGTTGTGCAGTGTGCGTCATTGATTTCATAACGAGTTGTCCAGATAAACTTGCGCTGTGTGGAAAGATTCTGCTTTGATCGCTTTCTGTATAATTTGTTCAGAATTTAAATAAGATTATTTTCATCCTAGAAACGATGTGAAGTTGATATTTTAGTCACTGGCTTGACTTACTAATGCATAAACAGTATAGAATGATTTTGAGAGAAAGATTAACTATAATATAATTTAATATAATTATAACTTTAATATAATTGATAAACTAAAATTGCACGTGTAATGGATTATAATTACATAACTAATATATTATACAAAATTATTAAATAAATATTGCTTATATAAATTTGGTTTATAAAAGTAATTTCCTATTTAGTGACCTTTTAATTTGGAGTTGAAACGGGGACTTTATTGCATCAGACATGTCACTTTGCTCACAGCATGTGTTTCAACATGTAGAACACAATGAGCTTTAGGAAGGCAAAAGAGATGATCCATGCCTCATTCTAAAGCTGTATTATTCGCTGTTGAATTGTGTTGCTTTACATAAATGAGTAATTTATACATATAGGTTCAATTATTTTGAAATATTTATTTTGTAAGATCACTTCAGTTTTTTGTTTTTCTGTCGAGGCACTCAAAATTCTACTCAGATGAGTTAACATGAAGGGATGCTTCACTGAGCCTACACTTGTGTTAATCTTTTATGTGACCCTCATGCAGTGGCCACTTGAGGCAGCGCAAGTCTGGGATATTAATTCGTTTAGAGGATTAGAGTTGTTATAGTATAATGAACCTTTTTGCTTTTCATTATGTAACAAATTGCACCCTCTCCAATTATCAGGATTGTTCGCTTTCCTTTGAAGTTGGATTGTAAGATACACACACAATCCCAATTGGTGTCTGAATAATAGCGTCCATAATCGTGACTGGGGGAAAAAATGCTGTCAAATGTCCTTTCAAACAGCCATCAGAACCCCCCACCCCTCAGGGACACAAGTTATCTCAGTATTGTTGCTCTCTCTCTCTGAGATGGGTGTCACACAGAGAGGTTGAAAGCTTTAGAGAAGTTTTGCCTCTAGCATTCACACTACATGTGTGATGCCACTGCTGGGATGCGGATGGCGTTCATAAAGCCATGATCTCTCACACAGAGGCAAGCAACCGGCGCATCATAGCAGAGGGAAGCACATCTCTATGGGAATGATGATGAGAGATGCAGGTGGAGGGGGTTGGAAAATCAATATGTTTTTTATGCTGGTTAGCGAGCATAGTGAACTACACAAATAATACAAGAAGCTTTTGCGCACAAAGTAATAATAACTCTTTTTTATTTAAATATATTTAAAAATGTATTTTATTCCTGTGATGGCAAAGGACACCATTATTGTGAAGTAGAAATGTTTTGCAACAAATAAAAATATTCAATTTCTTTTTTAAAAACAAAAACGTACTTACTACTTACCCCAAACTTTTGAATGGTATTGTAGCACGGTTTTCACAAAAATTTTAAACATGCATATATATATATATATATATATATATATATATATATATATAACAGCAAATATATATATATATATGCATGTTTTTCAGTAAAGTGATGGACTTTAATTTGAATTAAGGGCGGAGGGCCACAGTGGACCACAGTAAGAAGCAATCAATTGAAGCTTTTTACAATGACACACTATGAGGGCTCAATTTCCTGGTAATTATTGAATGTGCAATGATTTGAGAACAGATGATTTGAAACTATAATTAAATCCCCTCCTTGTGACATTATCATAAGGAAGAAATTTAATTCTCATTATTCCTTATGTTCGTGAATAATCTCAAGGCATTCACAAAGAGCTCGTCAAGTTTAGCTCTATATAGTGGGATTTTTTTCCCGTTGTTGGAATATTTCTTAGGTGTCAAGTATATAACAGTACATTATCCCTTTTCTTTCTGTCTTCTCTGCATGTCTTTCACCTTTAATATTTTCCTGTTGTTCGGTGTATGTTATTTGCTGTGCGACTATCTCCACAGATCTGTTAGGTTAGTACTAAAATCTGATAAAAGCACAGGCACATTTTTTAGCTAATGGAGTTCTCCATTTGCAGAGTGCGACATGTAAACCTTTCAAACTCTGACACTGCATCCTTATGAGATGTGTGTCTGCCACAGCTCTCCTGTCTCGTCTTCCTTTCACCCATCCTCTGTGCCCTAGTACGTGTACTTCAGCTGTGCTCCGTCCGGCTCTCAAGTGTTATGGAGACGATTATAGCTCTAATAATGCTCAGATTTCAGTGCACAACTGCACTTTCCTTGAATTTGGATGATGCTGATCTAAAACTTTAGGGAAGTAACTTAAAAGGGTGCATATCATGAATAACAAAACCTTCTTTGAGTCCAAAAAGACCATTTATTGCAACTATATGCAGCAAAAATGCTTTTGCTCCCAAACCCTTGGATTGCTGATGTAAATTCATTAACATACAGTATGAGATTTGCATGCCAATATCTGGAATGAAAATGGCAGTTGCTTGGTTAGCGCATAGGGGAGCGCGGGGTACAAAGTAACGCGGGGCTAGTTTTAACACGCTTGTTTTAAATACTTTCACACATGCTGGCATGATGAAACTTGGTGTATTTACTAGTGGCCATTTCAACACTATAGGGAAAAAATGCGCCAAAATACCTTTGTAAGATATCACTGAACAGTTATTTAGCCATAGCAAAATTTCTTTATTCAATTAATTTTTCGTCTCTATTTTTTGTATTTATTTAAAATGAGACAAATCTGAACTTATTTTAATCTCAGTTGAGCAGTTGATATTATATTCTATAGAATATTCTATACTTTTATGAATTCTATTGAGAAAACACGACTAACATGTAAATAATGACTGAGAGTCAATGTTCAGAAATTATTAATTATTATTATTATTTTGTTTTGAACTATGCTGTATAGCTGTGTTTTTCGGTGTAATTGTTGTCAAAAAAATGTGATTATTTTTAATTATTAAAAAATGCCATTATTTTATATGAAGTTAATAATTGTATTTTATTAAAAATATATATATATATATATTGGTTCGACTTTGGTTTGGTATGGTTTTTTGTTGTTGTTTTTTTTGGTTTTTTTTAGATGAGATAGCATTTTAAGCTGTCATATGGTGATGTTACATGTTACAATGTACCCCGCCTATGGGGCATGTTGTCACATTTCACTTCCATTCTTTCAGGGTAAATCAAGAAAAAAGTATACACTGTTTTAATAAAACGAAACCACATAATTGTACTAGACATGTGGGAAATTAATGCGGGAAATACATACTCTAAACCCTTAGTAGATTTACACAAACTGAGAAAGTCAAAAAGCATTAGGTTGTGCCCCACTCTCCCCAACAGCCCTGAAAATACAAGCCATTGGATTCTATATTAGAAGCCTTCACAGTTTATTGGAATGTTGATTGATGGACATTCATAAAAAACATTGTCATTGCTGAACACCACACAGATGATGACATTCATTTTAGGTCTCTATTATATGGAACATTTATAATAATGTAGACACTCTCACTGTGACAACTCCTAATAACACACGGATCCTATATATAAGTATTTCTACACAAAGTATTATATATCATATGGACTGGGGAATTCCATGAATAAATCATTTTGAATGATGTTTCTAATAAAACAGTAACCTGCAAGGTCGGGGGTCAAAGTTCAAATCTATGAAGGCAAAATGATTTTGACCCAAGTTACTAACATTCAGTCTGTCAGGCAACATCAACACACTATGGATTGACAGTATGGATGTGTTCACAGAACTACAAATTAGGAGAGGGATAAATATAAAGTGCAGACAGACACATCATACCCCATATTTTTTTTGTGACATTAGCTTAGCCTAGGCCTACTTCAAAATAAACAATTTAAACAGTGTTTAAACAGACTATCACTGTCTGAGTTTACAACTCAAACATGAACACGCATCACAGAAGGTGCTAGTTTATATAAAACGTGTATTCATACGCTATTAACATAATTTAAAATGGTTTTAATTCCTCACAAAAGCTGTTACTGTACAAAATCCTCAGCGTACTAGTCCGCGTTTCTCAGTGCGCTTTATGCACTGTGAGCATAGCCTGTCAGTCCTAGAACGCCATCTAGTGACCCGAAATAAGAACTTACACACAAGCTGCTAAATAGAATCACTTCGTGTGTAATGTACTTTGAAAGAACAAACAAAACTTGGGGTTTACTTTTTTTTTTTTTTTTTTTTTTACAGTTTTTGCGCTGTAAAAAGAAGTTAAACTGTAAAAGACTGTACAAATGCTGAGGGGAGCAACCTGTTAGTTGGTTACCAGTAGCCTTGTATTTTCACAGTGAAAAAAAAGAACGTCATCTTATAATTTACAGTAAAAACCCGTAAACTGACATTCCCCAAACTTGCATTAATGTTTATTGCATTATTGTAGTGTCGTGTGTTAGGTGTGTTTTGTTTGTGTATGACTTTGTGCACTTTTTATATATTGATTTTTAACTTTGCTTGTGAAAAAAAAAGTCAACTTGTGATGAAATTTCATTCTTCATGTGGATTTTTCTTCATTCACTTTCAATTTGTGTTATAGTGGTGCTGGTCAGTATATGTTAAAGGTATAAAACTTTTAGTAGCAGTGTAATTCTGCTGAAAGGGGCTGTTGGATTTACCAATTTAAAAATTATGTAAATTAAAGTTTTAAACTGCACAGGTTCTGTAATTATGTTTACCTTTTACTATTTATTTTACAGAATGATTACATGCCATTTTTTTTTATATAAAACAACCTTTTTTACAGTGTTCCTCGATGCTTTAAATAATTTGAGAGGGAACTTTTAGACCATAAGTAGAACATCTAATTTAAAGAAACTGAAAAAAGAAGCATGAGACATGAGTTTTAATATTCTTTATTGATTTATAGACATTGATTTTTTTCTTCTTTTTTTCCTGTGGTAACTCCAAGTTTCTCTGATACCAAGTATTTCCATAATTTTCTGTGTTTGATTTAAATTACATCTATATTATTGTACTCACATATGCATCTATTGGTTGATTTCCTTATTGCAATAAACAAGAGTAGCCAGTATGAGTTGAATATTGCTACGTTCCATCACACATACTGTTTTCCCATCGGACAATTTAATTCAAAAATAACTTTATTGGCAAGACGAGGTTTGACCGAAGCTTCTCCGTCCGCGTCTGCTCCTGGAGAGGCCTGGGGTAGAATAAGGCTAAGGCTAAAATAGACTTCACCAACTAACATTACACCTGCCCTGAAAGGTTGAATAAATCTACCAAAGACAATTCTGTACAGTGATGACAGTTCTGACTACAGGATGAACATGGTCTTTACAGTGTTGACGGATGGGACTAAGCGAGTCTGTCTCAAGCCTGTGGAGTGTGTTAGCTGTGATGGCTTTATCACCTCACATGGTTTCAATGGGGCACAGGACACCTGGTTTCAAACTACAGCATGTGTCAGTGCGCATAGTGTTACCACAAAATGCTCATCTGAAATCAGCCGAATACTCCGTCCACTGATTGTTTTAATAATTAAGTTTGGGATAGAAACAGCTGATTGTAGATGTGCAGTTTAAAGGAATAGATCACCCCAAAATTAAAACACTTTCGTTATTTAATCACCCTCATGTTGGTCCAAACCCACAAGCTGTCCCATACAACACTATATATATATATATATATATATACAGGTATATATATCATGACTGCGTTTGCATGGTCAAAATTCTTGGAATCTGCGATTTATATAGTTTTGGAAAATTTGAAATTACAATAGAAGTACATTTTTGTTTAGGTGGCAATGTTGCTTTGGTATTTATATAATTGGTTTGAACAAAAAAAAGGCAGACAGGCTGAATTAAAATGCAAAGTTACTCTCTGACAGTAGGTGGCGTAAATTTCAATGGTAAATTTGCAGAAAGACGGTTATTGCATTTATCTCTACAAAAGACTCCATACAAGAGTCATACACTATTTCTCAACACTTTGTTTTTGACATGGTCGCTATAAACTGTTGCTGTACTTTGATACTTCATACATACCTCCTTTTGTTTTCCTCTAAAAAAATAGCAGCATATGGGTTTGAAATTACATGAAGGGTGAGTAAATGACAACATTAGTTTAACCTTTTAGTGAACTATCCCTTTAAGGCAGGTTCTGCCCATCAAATTCTATCCGTACGCACACGACACTACACGATACACACCGACATGAAACTATACCATATACTAGTGCCCCGATAACTAATGAGAAAGAGAGGTAAAGTTTCATCAAAGCACAATGGTGGACGCTAACCACAGTTAGCATGAAGTAATGGCATTATCATGACGCTTCCCACACAATGCAAACAATGCCACGAAGAAACAAAAAGTCGAACTAAGCTACATACGCAAAGGCTATGGCTGACTACATATTGTTTGCGTTCAGATATACCCTGTCCCCCCACTCAGAGATGAGAAAAGACCCTTTAATATGAAGGACCCGTCCCTCTGGGTGCCCGTTTCTTACTTTTAAGTTTTATTACTTTCTTAGGCTAATTTATCTCTGTGGAAGAACATGGAGGCCTATTAGCAGCCGTACAGAACCATTTATAAAGGATCTTCTACAACAAATGACATAATTCAATTGATTATTGCATTGCAATATCCAAACAACAGTAAGACATCGTCACACTTTGCTTATCAATGGAAGACTGCCGCGTAGTTCCACCTACACGACAGATTTGATGTTTATCTGTATTCATACTTCACCTCCAAATACGCTTTCTAGGCCGCATTACGATCCCATCCAAGTGCAGGTTTTCGATCTTCCATAGAAAAATATTCTCGTTTTTTTTTCTCCTTTTGTTCAATGATTTCCACAACAATATTTGTTCAACGTAACAGTGTACTATGAAAACAAACCCAAAAAAACAACAACATCAAAACGATTGATCATAATAAAAAACGAAATCATATGCATTGCATGGCTTTAGATTCAAGACAGGAAGTTCATACCAAAAAAAAGGAGAGATTGCACAGTCGTGTCCTTTAGTGACCTCCTCTGCGTCTTCATTTTTCAAGACTCTCTCGGGGTTCCAGTGGAGTGGCTGACCTGCGGTGACAGTCTTTGCCGGGGATGCAGGAGAAGGGGGGCGTATTGCTAGGGGTTGCATAATGTCCACCGAACAGAGACAAAATGAACAGAGGAGCCTGCATGTACTGTCCAAGTGTGTGCTTAGATCTGCTGCCTTTCTCTGAGAATCAAAGGACCCGTCCATCTATATTCATCATCTACCACATCATTCTCTACGCACATATTTCACTTCTGAATATTTTTCCTAAGTCAACCAGCTTGGATGTTCTGAACTACACTATGCTACACTACTCAATAGAATAAATAGACATCTACTGATTTTCTAAGATCTAGACCGAGGTCTGGGGTTTTTCAGTCAACCGCTCCTAGCGCTAACGGATGTAAAAGCGACACAAAAGAGAATGATCTCGAGTGTCTCTTCTGCATCTCTCTGTTTCCCTAGAGAGATGCGACTATGAAGTCAGCTTCTAAAGCTCATTTCGAACCAGCATTCGGAAAGAGTCGAACATCCTTAGACCTTCCCCACAATCCCCTGCTGTGAGTCTTGACATGGTGGAACTGCGACAGAGATTGTGGTGTTTTTCTCTTGCAAAGATGCCAAAGCCAGACAGGACAAGTTGAATACTACGAGAAGCGTACTGATGTAACGTGGTTTTTGTCTGTTTCTCAAGGTGCATAGGGGTTGAGGGTGCATTTATTCAGAACAACAGAAACATTTAACTGTAGTCTTTGTGTGTTTCGGGGGTCTCTAGATAGTTGCCTAACTCATTCCAGCATGTCTGGCTACGATGTGACTTCTGCTACCTCACAGTATGAGTTATAAATAGAGGGAAGGAACAAGGATGTCAGATACATACAATATTGCTCTATTCCAACAATCCCTGCATTTGTCCATTCATCCACCAACAAATAAATCTCTCAAATCAAACGAACGGAGATGGAGGAGGCAGTTAAGGGTGGTGAAAAGAGAGTTGGAACGCCAGTTGCACTTTGCTTCGTGATTGCTCCCACTTTGCGACCCTTCTGCTTGGTTTGATGATTGAAGTTGTTGTTGATGAGCCGATTCTAGTCATTTCTGTGATGTTTCGCTATTTTTTTTTTTCGTCGTCACAGTGTGCTTTTGGAGGTGAGGCTCCGGACTGGCTGTGATTGGCTAAGGGGGGTGAGGGCGGAGTCAGTACGGCGAGAACAGGATCGGACCGTGTGAGGTGCGTATGGGCCCCGGAGCTGGTCTCAAGATGGCGTGACTGAGGGGCGGACCCTGCAGCAGGTGATGATGCGGATGGGTGGGGGCTGCTGCGCGGAGAGCCAGTTGATTGTTGGAGGCGGCCGCTGCCATTGCCGCAGCAACGGCCAGAGGACTCGGCAGGAGGCCGGCGCCTAATGCTTTGGTGAGATCCTATATAAGATAAAAATGTTAAAAGATAAAAAATTACTTCATCCAGTAATTTGACATCCAATTATGAAATATAACTTTCAGTGCATGATAGCACATTTAAATTAGGATTGTAACCAGTATCAGGTTCGGTTATCACTTACAGCAAGGTCAGCTCCCCTGTGCTTCTTGTGTCGGCTCAGGAGGGGGTTTGGCTTTCCTGCCACTCCGTCCCGGTGCCGTCGACTTGATATGTGCTGCAAACGTAGTCCATCGATGACAATTTTATTTAGTATAAACAGCATGGCGAGCATATTAAAGCACACAGACTAATGTTATTTCATGATATATGAAGACCATAACCCTCGCTCACCTGTTTGAGCTGTAGTTCTGAGTTGACCCGCACATTGCAGATCTCACAGTGGAAGGTGCGTTCCTGAGTATTGGGGTCTGAGGCCCCGCCTCCCTGCTCCCCGCTGGGCTTCGGACCCAAGCGAGGGTATGCCTTAATGGGGCCCAGTCCGCTGCGGGCTTCCAGAATGGTTTTGTGTTTAGTGCCTGAGGAGCACAGAGAAAAACAAAAGGTGTTTTTTATCAATGAAAACCCATATGCGCATACTGTCTAAATGTTTGGGCTTGGTAAGATTTTTATTAATGTCTCTTATGCTCACCAAGGCTGTATTTATTTGATCAAAAATGCAAAAATATTGTAAAATATTATTACAATTTAAAATAACTGTTTTGTATTTGAATATATTTTCAAATGTAATTTATTCCTGTGATACAAAGCTGAATTTTCAGCATCATTACTCCAGTTTTCAGTGTCACATGATCCTTCAGAAAGCATTCTAATATGCTGATTTGCTCATCCAGAAACACTTTTTTCTTATTATTATCAATGTTGAAAACAGTTCTGCTGCTTAATATATTTTTTGTGTAAATTGTGATCGATTTTTCAGGATTCTTTGATGAAAACAAAGTTCAAAAGATCAGCTTTTATTTGAGAGAAAAAAAAAAACACTTTTAAAGATTTAATGCATCCTTGTGAAGTAAAAGAATAAAAGACCCCAAACTTTTGAACAGTTGTGTATACATAAATAAATAAATGTTAACACTTTAGTTTTTAGTTAACTTATTAGTAAGTACTATTAATTACATATTAATGTAGAGATTATTCTGCATGACCATATTCTACATCCTTAATTTTACACAATACCTAAATTAACCTAACCATTAACAAGCAGTAATTAGGAGTTATAATTAATAGTGAGAATTGGACCCTAATCTAAGTGTGACTTAATTAATTAATACATAAAATAAAATTACAATAACAATATAAAATAGAATAAAATGAGAATATTATGAAATAATAAAATATAAATATATTAAATGGATTTATCTAAAGATAATATGAACTGTAATATCCAGTCGCGACCACTAGAGGGCTCTTGAATCTTCCACTTTTAATCATCCTTGACTGCAGCTGCTCAGGTCAGGGTCAGGGATGATTCTTATTCCTCCTGTTAACTTTGTTGCAAACCTGAATTTGCTGAATTTTAATTTGGCTGTCCTCATTACAACGAAGCTCATCAATTTTCCATTTCCTGTATTCTGAGCCATGCAACACATGGTTCTCCTTATATGTTTCGCCGTCATGTTCCTGGCCTCACAATGTCAATGCTAAGCTATGGACACAAAAAAAAACAAAAAAAAACACGTGATGTCCACATGTTTGGGTTCCCTAGGAACTAATGACTTTGTTTTGTTCTTAACCAAGAAAACATTGGAAATGTCACATATTCTCTTGCCAAATCAATAGCAGACATTTTCATTTTCTCCCTTTGACCAAAAGTTCACCTTAACTTTGGGTTTGAGTAGACAAGGCAAGAAACTAGCACAAATGACCTCTGTGCTGTTCAAAAATGCAATCTTTCAATAGTTACTCTAAAATTTGTTCCAGACAATGAGTGTGGCTAGTTTCACTGTGTTACGGCCATTTGTAAATGCCGTCTGAGAAATAAACAAATAAAACAAGAATCGACAGCTGTGTCTGGACATAGAGCTCCAGAAATAAAGTAAGCTAAAACTCTCGTGACTTTTATCTGTGGCTGTCTGCACAACATATGATTTGATTTTTGGCTGTGGTTAGGAGTTTATTTAGGGAATGGACTGTATTGATTCCAGATTATAAACTCACGCTTCCATCGGCAACAACGCCCTGATATCACTCATAACTTGTAATGTTTACTTTAAAACTTAGTCGTGTTCCAAGAGGAACGACTTCCATGTGGCTTCATGTATCAAAGTGTAATTTTCAGTCCACATAAACAATTGTCAAATACTTTTTTTGGCCTGGTGAAAAACAGACTATTTAATCAATAAGCTGCTCAACATGAGAAATTCCTAAGCATATACTGAAACTATGACTGCAGTGTTTCCAGATAAATAAAAGAGGAGATCAATATTAAAGAGAGTTGTGTGTGTGCCTCTGCAGCAGAGTCTCCTTAACATCCACCTTGGTCTCTTCAAACAGGGTTGTTTGTGTTGACACAAACTGAATAATAGAACAGAATGAGATCTGCTCAGGCATCCGATATACTACGAGAAATCGAACGCTAAACTAAACACTACAAGCTGCACTGCAATTCAAAAACTGATCTACTTCATTTGTTTTTGTGCACACCTTTGGGGGAAAACCAAGAGGTGCTATAAAGTCGTGTATAAATCATGAGCGAGTGAAAGCTTCTAAAGATGGCTGTTTTAGAAGTTTAAAGGGTTTTTTTTCTGTGATGAACATAATTGCTAGTGTGCCTTGAGCTACGCAAAGCATATTTCTGCTGCTTACAGAACAAGATCAATCTTGCAGACTCTTCTTAAAATAATTCATTCTTTGGAAGTCATTTGTGAAAGTATTGAGAAAGGCAACCAGAAGGTCCGAATTGCAAAATTCAACTTTAAGTATATGTTATTTCCCAGTTTGTCAGCAAATTTATAAGGAACTGAATTGAAAAATGGTCCAACTCTATGAGATTTAAATAATAAATAAAAGGATCAGTCATAACTTTCACATCTTCTCCTATCAGGAATGTATGTAAGATGTATATTTTATGGAATAACGAATATAAAATTTCTATATGGAATGCTTCTTAATAATAATAATAATTTGTTACATTTATATAGCGCTTCTCTGGGTACTCAAAGCGCTTGAATATATTGCATTAAGCCATGAAACTAAAAAATATGGCAAGCAATTATATATATTGCTTGGTGACAGGAAGATTTATGGAATATAAAATGGAAAATATTCATGGCTGGTAAATTTTCTCAATGCACCTGCCACCGCCAAAATGTAAATTTTGCCCCATAAAAAGTACCATTAACGAAGCAGATGAACACAGTAGTACACCGTTGCATTTGCTTTTTATGTTTTTCTGTCATGAAAAGTGATTGTGGCATCATATTGTTGCTGGATATGATACTATGGAGTCTCACAGTGACTAATATGATAGTACAAAGTCACAGCGTTTGGGATTATGTACAATCTATCCACCTCTAAGTACCCATTGGAGACTCAATAATGTGTTGTGTAATAAGTCAGAAGGATAAGTTATTTAGTCAAGATGAGCTGTCTCTAAATTAATGTTTACCTTTATTGTGGGCCTCCAACTGGGAGAGCGAATTGACGGCCACTTTGCACAGTGAGCAGTAAAGCAGCTTCTTGGCTTTGTCCTCTTCGGTCTCAGGGTTGCTGGGAGTGACTGATGGGGCCCCAGTGCCAGCCTGCTCTGGGTTAGAAGAGCCACAGCCGGGGGATGAGGAGGTGGCTGGGGGTGGTTGAGGGTTAGCAGGGGTGGACAGAAGGGGACATGCAGAAGGACCGGGGGATTCTGGGGTAGGGGGAGCAGAAATGGCCACGGGCCCCGAGGCCACCGCGGGTCCGTTTAACTGTGGCGCTGGCCGCGTCTCATCTGCAAAGCAAACAACAAAATGACATTTAAATGGAGTATTTCTGGAAGTTAATGAGCTCTGCTGTTTCATGTTTGAAAATAACAACGCTGCTATGCAAGAATTCAAGAGCTTTCAGTTCATGCCTCAGAAATGTGTTTTTTCCTGTAAACCTCAAACCAGGCGTACCTCAAATACCTCATCTTAAAGTGTGCAACCTCAGCCTTTAGAGACCACATAAAAACAAGTTTACAAAAAATTGACTTCATAAAATAAAATGATTTACATATGTTTGTATTTTTTATGAGCCATCGCATATTGTTTAGTTTAATTTCTAAAGTAAAATGGGAGATGCTGAGAAATATGTAACCATACCGTTTAAAGTATTCAGGACGTGAAATAGCAGTCTTTGCTAATTTAAACATGTTTCTGTTGACATTGAGACTAAGTAGGTAGAGCAAGCAAAACTCATAATAATTGCCTCACCTAAGGCTGTTATGTGTGACAAAGGAAAAAAATACATTTAAACTATCTTTAAAAATGTTTTGTCACTGATCAAAACTACAGTAAAAACAGTACAATTTTGAAATATTACAATTTAAAATAAATTTAAAATGTTTTCAAAAATAATATTTCTTATCAATGTTGAATGCACTGAACTGCAGTTGTGCAGCTGTGATAATTTACTCACCCCCATGTCATCCAAGATGTCCATGTCATTCTTTCTTCAGTCGAAAAGAAATGAAGGTTTTTGATGAAAACATTCCAGCATTTTTCTCCATATAATGCACTTTACTGGGAACCAAACGGTTCAAGGTCCAAAAGACAGTTTCAGTGCAAACTGTTCAAAGGGCTTTAAATGATTCCAGGCGATGAATAAGGGTCTTATCAAAAGAAACGATCGCTCATTTTAAAAAAATAACAAAGTTTAAGTTTTATAAGCTCAAATGCTCGCCTCGCTCTGTACTGCGATGCACGTCTGTGACTCTCCTGTTCGAACTCGTTTATAAAAATGAACAAATCTTTTTCCAATTCAGTTCATTAATTTCATTTGTTGAATGACCCAAATGACACGAAACCACAGACCAGAGCAAGGCGAGCATTTGAGCTTATAAAACTTAAACTTATTTATTTATTTTTTAAAATGAGCGATCATTTCGCTTGATAAGACCCTTATTCATCGTCTGGAATCGTTTAAAGCCCTTTCAACAGTTTGCACTGAAACTGTCTTTTGGACCTTGAACCGTTTGGTTCCCAGTAAAGTGCATTATATGGAGAAAAATGCTGGAAAGTTTTCATCAAAAACCTTCATTTCTTTTCGACTGAAGAAAGGATGAAATGGACATCTTGGATGACATGGGGGTGAGTAAATTATCAGCAAAAGTTTTTTTCAAAGTGAACTACTCCTTTAATATTCTTCAATATTTTTTTTCAGGATTTTTTGTCAGTCAGACAGTTAAACAGCAATAAAAAAATATTTTGTATCATTATAAATGTAATGTACTGTCACTTTTGATCAATTGCGGAATAAATGCATCCGTCAGATATTTTTAAATCATAAACCCCATGACCCGTCAAAAAACACCAAATATTAATCAACACACACATCTCGATTACAACTTCAGAATGGACGGGCCGAACCATGTGGCTCGCACTCAGTGCAGGAGTGGTTCAGAAAAGCCTGAACTTGTAACTCTGAGCTCATTTTCTTAGTGCTCAATACACTCGTCACAGGCCATGTGTCAATGAGAATCAAACCCTTTACCTGACATTGTTAGCATCAGTTAGCCTACCCTATAGGTAAAAACATGTGCAATAGCTTTGTCATTAACTGTACATTGGGTACATTGCTAAAAACACCCTAAATGGGAGCAGGGCGTTACAGAGTGAATTATCTTACCCCATTATATGAGACAACTAAAGAGCAAAAATCGTCCTTTAGGAAGAATCTCATGGGGGAGTAAGCAGTGACTTTACTATTTCCTTATGTTTTTGTCATTTCAAAACATTTGCCCGCAACATCTTACATAAACTCTTAGTCATTCGAACTCAGTGTCTCCTTAAGAAACACACTGTTCAGGTTTTATTCACCATGACATTTGAAGTTCAACTGCCTTTGCAGTGGAGGCAAATCCTGAATGGCAGGTGTATAAGAGCTGGTTAGAGGCAACCAGATCCCTCATTTAACAGGAAACTTTTCCCTCTCTCTCTCTGTTCGCGGAGCAGATGAGCAAGGCTTTAGCTCCTGTCAGAGCCTCTAAAGATCATCTGGATCAAAGCACGGGTTGATGACATACTGTTCTTTTGGAAGATGCAGGATGTTACAGCAAACCCTCATGTCATGGCCCTTCAAAAAAAAACAAAAAAAACACCCAATATAATCAACACTTTGTGCAATAGCTATTACAGCATCAGAATGGACGGGCCGAACCATGTGACTCGTGTTCAGTGCAGGAGTGGTTCTGAAAAGCCTGAACTTATAACTCTGAGCTTATATTCCCACTGCTCCTTTTCCACAACACACCCCATTCCCTTACAGGCCCCCCACCCTCTAACAAACACACACTGCGTGTGTAATGAAAAATGTGGGTTTGGCCGTGCACATGTGGTTTGTGTTAGCAGATCGTGGTTCAGGGGGTGGAGGAGTGTGTAATGGGGGATTTCAGAATTCTTCATCCTCTGGCCGGCTGCCATCCACCTCACTGACATGCCCCTCATGTTTGCTGCAATGTGCGCCCGTCTGCCCTCCATTTATTCTTGCTTGCATATTTGATAGTGCGGTTACACAACATGCACTCTCAGAGGACTCATATTTAATGCTTAAATTAACACCCGCTTTCCTTCAACTGCTGAAGGAGTCAGCCGCTGTAAACACAAGCTATTAATGATGTAAATATTTTCATGAAAGTTCAGATGTCCAACAGAAACCCAAAATATTGTTTTAATTTTGCTTTAAATGTGCAAATGTTGAAAATCAACAGTGGGCATGGAATCATGGGCATAGAGGCAGGGACAGAGCTGGTTGGGACATCACAATTATTTTTACTGTTTTGATAAATGTTATACTACCATTCAAATGCTTATAGGGGCAGTATTTCTTTAATATGTAAAATAATAATAATAATGTATGCACAAGGCTGCATTTATTTGATTAAATATACAGTAAACCAGTAATTTTGTGAAACATTATAACTATTTAAAATAAATTTTAATGTTGATACCTACAACAAAAAAAAAATCCTGTGATTTTTAGCATCATTTCTCCAGTCATCACATGATCATTCAGAAATCATTTTAATATGCTGATTTGCTGCTAAAGAAACATTCCTTATTATCAATGTTAAAAACCGCTCCTTAATATTTTTGTGGAAATGGTGATACATTGAGCCAGTTTTTTAATTCAACATTTAAATGAATAAGCGTTAATAATGAATAAAGATACCTTACTTATCTGCCATTCATGATTTTTGGTTGAACCGTTTAGCTTTGAATACATGCCGTTCGGTATTCTAATCCACCCTAATATACATTTTGATAAAACAAATAGAGCAATATCACACGAGACTAGCAGTGCAATATGGCTGTATATCTGCATGGTTGTAAAGGACAATATAGTAGCAGAAAAACTATTTTTACCATAACTGATAGCAAGGTACAATGGGATGTGGAGAGCATGTCAAAGCTGTTTATTTAAAACATAAGAAATTCTTTTGGATTGTAACTTAATTATAACACACAACTTTCACAGTGTCTGGTTTGTATTTCCCTGGGTAACCACTGGAGGTCCTTTTCCTCTACGGTGTCCAAAACTTATTTACTACATTTCCCATCATCCTGTTCTGTCACTCACTGATCATCACACACAGCTGTTTCCCATCACCTTGTTAGTATCTGTGTGTACATATGCCCTGTTTGTTTCAGTGTTTGTCACGGAGTCCTTGTTATATGTCAGGTCAGTTATGTAATTCTGGTTGGCTGTTTTGTTCTTGTGTTTGGATGGTCTATTTGGAATTTGATCCTTGCCTGGACTGGTTGTGAGTACAGATTATCCTAATAAAGATAATACTGATGGATTTTTCTGTTACCCGTGTGTGTATCGTGACAACAACAGCCTGAAAACACCTGCAGAACAATTGGAAAAAGCTTTGTCTATTAGTCACATCAAGCTGTGAGTTATTCCAGTTATTGATTAGGACAAAATTGGCCTTGACAGTAAGTGTAAATGATGCCTGTGCATTTAGTAGAATTATGATCGCTTAGTTACAGACTCCACATACAAAACCTGAACCCACAAGAACAATCTCTCAGTGTCCAGACAGTAAACTAATCCTGCTATTAATGCTGCTCTGGTTTCACAGCCACTGACAGAGCTATAGCGGAGAAGATGGAGCGTGATGTGGTGAAGGAGGGGTCTGGTTGTGACCCATCCAGGTGGATCAGATATTCGAGGGGTCAGGTAGAAAAGAGGCCGGCCTTTACTCCACTCCTACCCTGCCCACCATTAATGATTAAAGAACCCTGAAACAAGATGCCTGCATGAGCTTTGGGACTTATTAATTATGGAGATGGGTGCATTCATTTGCCTCACTCAGATCGCTGTTTCCCAGTTGCATCTTAGAGCAGGCCTGTTTACCAAACAATCCTCTTGTTTCTATAGAATCTGCATGTAAAAATGTGGAGATTCTGCCACTTTAACTCAGCAGAACCATGTTGTCGGAGATGGAGAAAGCTCTAGCAGGGAATTTAATGGCACTTCAAGTTTATGCTGTGAAATATGGAGGCCCAGACGAGTGTCGTGCAGCCTTCTGTCTTTATACAATCTCCAGATGTGTAGAAGACTGCTGGAGACGTATGGCTTCATTAAGCAGAGTGACTGTGCAGAAGTGGATCTTGGGGACAAACAGAGTGCTAAGACGGTTCAATGCCAAACCTCCTGCCACCCATGCTATTATGGGCCCTGTTAGCTGCGTTCAAGCCTTACAAACAAAGAATAAACTAGAATTTACTAGAATAAAAGCGTCCCTAACACGGGAAATGTAAATATAAGGAATAAGCAAACATCATAATTAGATAAACTACAGGTGAAAGTCCTTATAAAAGAGCTAAGAATGTATCTAAGTACAAACTATATTTATGTGGAATTAATAGTGTATATTATACTATTAATATTATTTAAAAAAAATCTATTTTAATATGTTAAAATGTATTTTTTTTAGCAGCCATCTTCAGTCTTCAGTGTGACAAGATCCTTCAGAATGCATTCTGATACTATTTGCTGCTGCAAAAAACTAACTGAATCCAAACTTTTGAACGGCAGTGTACAAAATTTTGGGGAGGGAACTATCCTTTTAAATTATCAATGGTTCAGGAGACAGTCAAGGAAACATTCAGAAGGCAGCTGAAACTCTATAACCACTAAAAAGGTGACTCCATTGGCCTGAGTATTGTCTTTCTACCTCTAAGAAACAAAACTGGCTTTACTGATGCGTGAAAGAAAATCATCAATAAATTACATCTCCGGCAGCTGAGGTCCAACACGACATTGGGTTTCTCATGAAGCGTGGGAATTCTTCCCTTGAGCTTTCACATAAAAACCCACACCGAGAGAGAGAGCAGAAAGCTTGATGTGTATAGACATGTGAGATATAATGATTAGGCCCAAGTACCGAGCCCTGATGCATCCCCAATATCTAGTTGCATGCTTGTAAACTCTGACTGGAATGGGGGGGGGGGGCAGAGATGAAGAGAAACACACTCAGAGAGCTCTAAACTTTTTCTAAATAAATTTACACTGCACGATATCACACACTTATACACACACTTCTCTACACGCTGAGATTGCAATGTCCAGATGGAACTGCAGCTGTCATGACTCAAGGGGTTGGCAGCTCAATGAAGACTCTGTTGTGAAACTAGTATTATGGGCATTAAAACAAAGTGATTGTCGGGATATACAAACAAGCGAGCCACCAGCCCGCTAGGGGTCGGGGTCATGGGAGTGAGCTTTGGATGGAAAACGGCATTCTTTCATATGTATCTGGTTTCACATTTAGATCATGGCCGGTTTGTTTTGGCTCTCTCCCGCTGGAATTTTTTCTCGGCCTGAGGACTGTAGACAGTTTTCTCTGGACAGGCAAATCCCTCGGTGAGAGACACGGCTATACTATCATCTGTGACAGGGACCATGAGCAGGATGAGGGGGAGTTGGGAATTAAAGCAGTCATTCTGTAATCGTAAAAAAGTTTGAGTTTAATTCATTTACTTGTCTCATTTAAATATCTTGACTTCACTTAAAATGTTAAGTTGTCCTGACTAAAAATATGACACTAGATTTCCATTTCAAATTCTATTCTATTTCTCAAAGAATCACTAAACAAAAGTGTTTTTTTTTGTTTTGTTTCACCAAAACAGTAAGCAGCACAACTGCTGCCAACATTGATAATAAAACAAAATGTTTCTTGAGCACCAAATCACCGTATTAAATTTAAAGGCAGTTAAATTCAAACACTTTAAAGCTTCTCATAAAACATCTACCAATTGTGAGGGTGAATTGTTTGATACAAATTGAACCTGGCAATGATAGAAAGTGCAGGGAGCGGAGACATAGGGAAAGAAAACCAGCATATTCCCACCCTTTGGCAACTCTTCACCCCCATTTCATCTTACCATCATTATGATCTGTCAGTGTTTAATCACTCATTAAACCAAGATCAACTGTGATGTTTCCCTTCTCTCTCCTAACTAATCCTCAGACCTCTGAACTTTTTTATATTCACAATCTAAGTCTCACAAACGTCCTCTGCTCCAACCCATCCTCCTAATCCCAAAGTTTATTCTGATGCAGAGACAAATGAGCTTTTAATACCTATTAACCCTGCACACAGCTCCATAAACACATCAGCTAGGCCTTCCTAATAAAGCTGTAAATCAAGTGGTCATGGTCAGTCACGCCACTCTAGTAAAATTAGGCTCTGAATAAGGTCGTCCATGTTCAAGACCTTTACACAGACTTCCTTAAGATGTTTCAACAAGGATTGCACCATCTTATATTTCATAAACTAGCTATTTTAAATATTGTTCTGGGACTTAGACATGTTGTCTTTGTCTATTTCTGTTATTGTACAGTTTCGCCCTGTAACAGACCCTAGACCTTCAGCGATGGGAATGTTCGATTGGTTGCTTGTTGAAGAGTGAGGTCAGACCACACACAGATGGAATATTTGCCATTTCTTCATGTCCTAGTTTTGATTCATAGGGTGAATTAGCATATCCTCGCTTTCCAGTCAACTCTTTTAAGAATTTTGGAGCAGAATACACTGCCTACAGTAGTTTTACATTCTTCAAATGAATGTTTTTACTTTTCAAAGGTTCTGTGAAAGTGAGCACAGAAGACCAGATGTGCATTTTTTTACAATCGCTATATTATACAAAGCCACTTATTCTCAAGCTCTTACCTGTTTTGTTGAGCTCAGTGTCTGAGACAGCCAGCAAGGGTCCCGTAGGTGAGGGGGACGAGACGGGCCCGGGAGGAGGTTTGTCACTCTCTTGTGGTCGGCTCTTTGAGGTCTCGATGCCTTTGACTCTCCTAGCATGACGGTTCCCCTTGTAGTGGGCTTCTGCCTGACTCTGAAATAAACACACAGGTAATGATGCTTAAACATTCTATGAGCACACCTTTCAAAATCCACAAGGAGCTACAAAGAAACAAAACAGAAATTTGACATCTGGTACTGGATGATATTACATGGGCTTATACCTAGGGTTGGGTATCGTTTGAATTTGAACGATTCTGATTCCGATTCCGATTCCTTGTTTCAATTCCGGTTCCTAACGATTCTCGATTCTGATTCTTTTAAGAGGCAGGGTCAAAAAAGTTTAGCTAACCTTTCTAACCAACGGTCTTTCTGAAGGAAATAATACTTTCTGAAGGAAATACTCCTTTTGTCACAAATACTCCTTTTGTCACAAATTTTGCATTTTGCCGAGATTTCGTTATTTTTAGAAAAGTGAAGCCACACTTTGGACCGCCGACGTAAGCTAGTCATGTTCGACTCGTGCAGTTATGCCAACACTTCCGGTAGACGCTTCTTCGTTAGTGTTGTTCAGCGGTTTCTTCTTCCGCTCGGCAGACTGTGAATATCGAAACTAGGAATCGAAATTTTAACTTTTGAACGATTCCGGGAAAAACGGAAAGTTAGTCCCGGTTCCAATCGATACTCGATTCTCAATACTCAACCCTACTTATACCTACATGCTAGTCCCAGGACACTGTTGCCATGTGGCATCCATTTTCTGTGAGTGTGAACCTGACTGTCTTAATGGGCTGCTTTTACGTGTCTTAAAAATAATTATACAAATTATATTTTAATTATATTATGCATAATGTTAACACTACTAATTATATTTAATTTATTAGTAGTTGTAATAAAATAAATTACACAAACGTATACCATTCGAGAAAAGAATATGGGGACTTTTTCCATGATTTCATTATCAACCCTGTGTTTGCATAAGTAGAGAGAATGAGACCAGTGTTAAGTGAAAGGACATATTTAGCCGTCTCAGCGGTCGGTGCAGTAACAGTGCAAAACCAAAGGAAACATAAGACAGTTGACTACTGTGAAAGCTCTAATCTGCATAAACAATTCCACTTCTCTGATGTGGCACAATCTAGTCCACACATCGATCATGCTGACTTGACCTCTAGCAGGAACACACGAGGAGATATTTCCAGAGATGCATCCTCGTTACAGGGGAGCACAATGCATATCTGTCCTACCTCCCAGCAGCACGCTTCAAACAGATCAACTATCAGCCGCTTCCCAAAACAGCCATGGCCTCTGAATCAGTCCCATAAGGACAAACATGATGATTATTAAATGGCTGGATTAGCTGTTGTGTGAAACTGAGAATGAGTTGACAACCGTTGCTGCAGACACTGGGAGCAGGACCAAGAGACTCATACCAGAGTGTCATCTAGGGCTCACAACATTAAAAGAGGCGTGGAAACCCCGCAGAGACTCATGGGAACAAAGAGATTAAGACAGCTAGGATAGGCCTTTAAGACCGTTAGGGTACACTTGAGGGAATGGCATTAGGTTGGGCCTTCCTGTCTGTTGTGGCAGGTTGTGGGCTGTAATTGGTGATGACAGAATCCTATATAGCTGGTGGTCTGTAATCGAAGCCTTCGGGGGTTTTAAGAAGCTGCTTGACTTACAGGAAACTGAGGAGGATGTGGGAAAAAAGCACTAAAAGAGCAGCGATCCCTGGGATTAAGGAGGAAAGAGGAGAAGAGAGCCATGTGGTTCTGGCGGAAACCCAATGTATATGGGGCTAAAGCACAGGTGCTCTATATGTTTTGTAGACAGTGGTAACACAGACAAAAATGAAAATGAATGTAAAACTGATTAGACATGAAACAGGGAAGAAAAAAATCCAAAAACAAAAGAGAAACACAGTTCATGCCATTGCCACGTGCAAGCAACAGTCTCAAACTGTCTATGGCGGTAATCACAGCCATGAGTTACAGAGAATGCAGTCAATACTGGAGATTCCAAGTATTGTTTTAAACAGTCTGTGACTAGGGATTGTAAAAGTTAAGAATTTTAAGTTTCTACTTCCAATTCCTCTTAGCAATTCTTTTAGTAAGGACTAAATATTTAATAAAAATGCTGTATTTTTTTTAAATATTTGAATACGAATAAGAATAAAATTATTTAATAATGCATTTACATTGACCGTCTTTTAGAGGTGTCGTAAATTAAATCAAATAATTGGCTTTATATATATATATATATATATGCACACACAAAATTTCTCAACAATGAAAACATGAGGAAACATTTAATTGTTTTTTAAATACTTCTGACAAAACTCATACTGTGCATCTTTACACATTGTTTAATGAATGAAAAAATTCTCACAGTTAATTGTAAGCTGTATTCGTTTGATACTCTAAAAAGAAACTGCTTATTAGAATCATTCATTCAGGAATCTGTCAACACTGTATACACGGTATGTTTTCGAGTTCACTAAAAAGAACCGATCCATTGAAGTCATTTCTTGGAGAGTTTGAGAGTACACTGGTTGCAATGCACATTTTGATTCACTAAAAAGAACAGGTTCATAAGATTCGGGAATCAGACTAGACTGATTATGTTGTCCTTTTCAGACTAATCTCATGAAATGGTGCATGTATGACACGCCAATTCGTATTTCCAGTTTTGGCGCGCTATCAACACGCATAATCGCTTTTCAGCGTGTTTATGAACGCCGTTGACTTAACGTTACATTACTGTATATATAAATATATGACCTACCCCAACCCCGTCCCTAAACCTACCCCTCACTTGGGTTAATAGCATTTATGAGTCTTCCCCTGCCATCCTAGGAAAAAATAAATATCGCTTCCCAGATGTAGAACCACTGTACATTTTGCTTCGTTTCGCTCTGACATTTAACGGCGTGTACATACACGCGGAATCACTCGGACATTTAACGCCGTAGACATACACGCATACACTCGGATGGCTCAAAATGCATATAGATAACATGTATGTTTACGCAAAAGTCATGATGCCATGTTGTCCTTTTCATGCCGTAGATTCAGCAGCGCCATTGCGTCGACAGACACCGAATAGTAGTAGAGTTCTCTGACTTGAGTATTTTTGTATGGTGGTCCGCCCGCACTGGCGAAATAAAGCATCAATGAGAATGCACCTGAGCATCATTCAGTTCTGAAATTAAAAAAGAATAACTGATAAAATGACACTATCATCCTTTAGAAATGAACTTATTTTTAACAACCAGTTTGTAGCTAGTTCCTAACTCAAATTCAACTATTAGCAATACAAATCCAATTTGTACCCACATACAGAACTCATTCATTGAAATTCTCAGTTAATTCTTTCATAATTAAGTGACTTACAAGAGAGGGCATGCATTATGTGAGAAGAATACATCAGCCATTAGATGTGAATACAAATCAAGTACCAAGCTAAATCCAAAATGTGCCAATGAGAATGAAGTGCTGGTATGAATGCAGCGCTATCTATAGAATAAGGAAATGAGGAAAGTTCTCGCCCAGATGGCACAGGGTTTTTCAAGAGAGATGAGTTGGTTTTGAGAGCACAAGATTAATTCTTCTAAGCACCACGATGGAAAAACAGGAAGCATGAAGAACTTTTCCAAGGACACAGAGACCAGATTGTCCCAGTCTCATTGAACCATGTGTGAACAGTATGTAACGCAACATACACCAACATAAATACAATTACCACACCAAAATGGGAAAAGGTTGCATGAGGAGGGTTGACAGCTGTGGCTATTTCCCAACGCTCATCACACACACGGAAGGAAGGTTAATTTGCCCTAGTGATGGAAAACCAGCCAGTGAATGACGGAAATTGTGCGACATCGTTGGGCCACTGCAGCTCTGTGAGTGGGAGGTACACGCATTCAACCCCGTCCTGCAGCAACAGTGACACAATATGGTGACATCACTTCTGCAGCGCGGCAAGGTTATACCTCCATCTTGCGCTAGAGTGAAAGGGACAGAGGGACACTGGCAGCAGAGCATAACACAAGTCTGAGCTCTTAGTTTGATGAATGCATCAGATAACACTTGCTGGCAGCCAATAGTCTGCTTTTTCCTCTACAAATGTCCTCAGTTATCGGCACTGGGGGGTGTGGAATCTATGAATCCATAATGGAGCGTGAAATGATGATGGGAAGGAGGCGAGGGATTAGATATTTTCAAGGAACAAATGCGTTGCTTTATTCAGCATAGTAGAGGAAGAAAATGTAGATTCGTTGCTCAGTGAAACCATTTAATGAAACATGGCATTGTAAATGTTATCTCCTAACATAGCTGAATCATTTCCAGTGCAACAATGCATGAAAGAAGTAGCACGATTTCTAAGAAAACATACAAACTTGCAATTGTTTCATGTCTTTTCTTTTGATCTCCGTTTTTCGCTCACAACTGATTTGACGCCGTGAACACTTGAAGTGCCATGTGGTTGTGTGTGTGGTTATGTGGCTGTGTGTGTGTGTATGTGTATGTGTACCTCCTTAGCTATAGTTTGGGGTCAAATTTGTATCCAGAAGTGACCAAAAACCTGACAAAATCTCCAAAATCCACCCTTTTAGGGACATCCTCATTTGAAAATGTGGTATAAACAAAGTAATTAAAGGTATTTTAAAAAATGTAAAAATGCATTTTTTTTCATGTGATGTATCGGTTTAGGGGTAGAGTTAGTATAAGTCGATAGAATATACAGTTTGTAAAGTATAAAAATCATTACGTCTGTGGAATGTCCCCATTTAGATAGCTATAAATAAATGTGTGTGTGTCTGTTCTTGTAAACCCTACAATATGGGATCCCCACAAAGATGGCAATATCCAAATTCCTTGTCCTTGTGTGGAAATGTTTTGGTCCCCATGAGGAAAACAACTTATAAATCAGAAAGTTTTCTGTCATGTGTAGGTTTAGGGGTAGCCTTAGTGTAAGGGGATAGAATATACACATCCTTATGTCTATAGAAAGTAGCCATGAAACATGAAAACATGACATGTGTGAGTGTGTAGTTAAATGCAAAGCAGGGGTGTTGAAATTATATGCCTATCTTTTACAAACCAGGACAGCTGCAGGTGTCAGAGATGTCTAATCTGTAGTCAAGTACTTATGGTTTATTGAACAGCACGCATTACTATTATTTACAAGCACACTTGTACAGTACGTGTCAAACTCGTTTGACTTGAGCGTCATGAACTAGGTTGTAAACTAAAGGCATCTTTGGGTGGCACTTTGGGATATGGAATTTATAGCTGAACTAACAACCGTCTAGGATATTTACTATGAACCAAAACAAAGCAACATTAGATGATGGAAATAACTGCAGTATACATCTTTAAGTCCAATTGTTTCACAGAATTGCTGACTTGTCTCAAAACCTCTCCCCATAAATCATTAAAAGCGAGCTGGGCTAACAGCTATTTACGCAGGTCTTCACATGCAGTCTTGGCCTCTCCATCTTCTCCCTGTTTTTCATTGTCTGTGGATGTGGTTTAAAGAAGGCCATACATCTGCTCGACTGGAGGCCCAAGATTACAGGCTCACACCAAGAAAGCCACTTTCTGTCCATGATTACAGTTCTCGTCCGTAAAAATAGCGCAGGCTAGTGGGACACTCCCCGGTCTTGCTCTGTTACTAATCTCACACATGTCACAATGTCTGCCACAGCTGCAACTGAATTCAGCCCAGAATATATCTGGCTTAAGTTTCCCCCCAAACAAGCGTATAGCATAAACTACTAACATAATTGCTTTCATTGATGCGCGAGGAATATTGGAACTGCAAAATGTGCGATAGGAATCTTGCAAGTCTAAAATGTAATGTTGTTTTTGTAGGAAGGTTTCTAAGGTTTCTCTAGGATTTCCTGGTGGAAATAATATCTTATAATTGGGACATTACTGTATATTGAGAGATGTTCTTAAAACTCTTTTAATCGCAGACAGAAAGAAAAAGGCTTCATCCTGTAATCATTCACTTTGACATGCTGTGCGGATACAGTACTTCAAAGAGGATTTGCCATTGGCTATTTCCAGACTAGAAAGCAGAGTGTGCAAAGTATCTCTGCACCATGAACATAACACTCACATTACATTGAAAACTCAATCTAAGAAATCTATTCACGATTTCATGTCTTCAATAACACAAGCCATTTGATTAAGCCACATATCAAACAGTCCAATATCAGATGCCTCACCTCAGAGTTGAAACGGATCTGGCAGACATTGCAGGAAATGATTGGCCGTTTGGTCTTCACCAGTGGGACTCCAAAGGTGTGGTTGATCACTGCCTTCTGAACAGGATCCATCTGAACACAGAACAAGAGAAAGTGGGAAAGGGAAAGGACGTGTGAAACTAAACTCTGGTACGGCTCTCATTAGACAGACAAGGTCATTAATCATGTTGATGGAAAGGTCTAGGTGGCAGTACAGTGGCAGTAAGTAACATGGCTAAAGGGTGAACATATGGTGCAAAGAGTCAGGACACCTGTGAGATCAAGTCAGGGTGAGCAGCTCATCTCATGTACAAATGTTGTCCGTCCGTGCGTTCAGTTTCAAAATATCAATGACTTAGCTATTAAACGAAGACAACCTAATAACTCACTTTCCATTCAAGAGGCCACATTACACTAGATCATTTCTAAACCAGCATATAGACTGCATACCAAAAGATTCCTGAATAGAACCTACTGGATAAATAACTAACAATGAGCAATACATTTGTTCCAGTTTAGTACTTGACTGTTTATAATTAGTTCAAGTTAGATCTGGTCAATTAAATAATATTAACAGATAATATTAACCTAAATTATTGTTACTAAAATGTTATAAATATATTTAATTCATTTTTTTTTTCATTATATTTATTCCTATATATATATAATATATATATACTGTATATAGGCCATACAGTCAAACCAAAAATTATTTAGACTCCAGATATATTTTTTTATGTTTTTATTAGTGGGTGCAGGACACTATAGTTCATTTATGGGACAGTTGTATCTATTGAACTATAGTTCAATAGATACATCTGTCATTACTAACAGCCTCAGCGAGGAAGCGGATGGAGGAGGGGCTCCAGCAGGATTCACTGGAAAAATCATAGATCAGAAAAAGATTACTTTTTTAATTGTCTTTTTTAAAACTGGGTGCAGGACAATATAGTTCATTTATCTTAGTGAGGATAGCAAAATAAAGTAAACTGACATATTATGCCCAAAAAGTCTTTATACAATGGACTACCAGTAATTTAAAAATATTTGGGACCGAAATTTTTCAGACATTTTGACCTGACCACGTTTTTGGTCAGGTCAAAATTAAGCATTGCTTGGTAATTGGTTGATCTAAATTGTGTACTTAAATTTAACAGCTGACAGCTATTCAACCTAGTTCATTAGTGAGACAGTCTAACAGAAGGGTGGCCAAAACCAGTGAAATTTTGGCTGATTTGATAACCCTGAGTTCTTATATTTTAGCAAATAAACTGTGAGATAATGTGAGAAATGTTAAAGGTGTCTGAATACTTTTTGGTTTGAGTGTATGTATATAATAGCCACACACATATATTTCCAGTATGAAGATAATATAATGTACCGTGTGCATACATCACAGACACACACTAAATTGTTTCTGTTTCAGTGTCCATAATGTGAGTTGTCAGACTTGTCCTTTAAATTTAACCCACTATCCTAAGTACCGCATCTCATAGCGCCAATGGTTAAGCCTCTGTTTATGACCAGCTTAATGCACAAAGCCTGATGGTCGCAGTCCAAAAATCTTTTAGCCTTGTGCTCTGCATTCAGTGCGCTATTGTCACATGATTATTCACTTGATATAGTTTCATTTAATTTGAGTATTTCGACGTGACATACAATATGATGCAGTCAAACTTGAGAAATGTTTTAGACTAATAAAGAATGACTGTGATACATGATTTCCAATACAGCCAGTTGCAGAAAGTAAATGTTTAGCCTTTCAAAATCATCTATAATGGTTGTGCTTTTTATTCCAAATTCGAAAAACAATAGACTAAGCCAGGCCCGTTTGGAACATCTTCTCTTGGCTGGGAAATGCGGGAGAACCTGAAATGAATACTCTCTCAAACAAAAACATTTTGAAACTCTGCAACGGAACGTTTCCAGGCAACCCCCTACTAGAAGCAAACACAGAGCCGAGACGTGGTTCGGGATGACGGCGTCCACCGACTGTAGGTTAACGTTCTTGAACCGGACTTCCTCAGATTTTTGCCTCGATTTTTGCCTTTTGGCACAGGCCCGAAAAGAAAACTTGTTTGTGTTCTGCGTCACCGTAACCGCCGAGGACCCTGATGCCATTGTGCATGTGCAACGTCCACATTACATCAGTCAGACAGGCAGTGGATTAGCCACAATGATGTTGTTCTATGGCTTTGCCATCATGAATCTCCAGAGGATTAAGTGAAGCTGGCAGTTAGCAGGGTAATCAGAACACCTCCAGCTAGAACACATCAATAGATACAACTGTCAGTCCTAACAGCCTCAGCGAGGAAACGGATGGAGGAGGGGCTCCGGCAGGATTCACAGGAAAAATCAAAGCTTAGAAAAAGATTACTTTTAAGGCTCATGTCTTTTTTAAAAGTCTACTGGCAGTATTTTAACTCAGAAAAACGCCCTTCTAATCAAGATTTAAAAGCATAAAGAAATTAAAATGCGTTTCTAGACCAAAATCATGGGTGTTGGTTCATCCTGCTTCGCATTATGAAATAAAAATAGCACTGCATTGAAGTGGTTTTCTGCTGGTGTTGATTTATTCCTTTGACTTTCTCAGCCGAGAGACATCTTGGCACATAACTATCCCAACCAATTTCCTTAAACTTCAACAATGTCATGATACAGCTCTATGATGATGCTACAAGAATCGAACTAATGAAACCGCAAAACCACAGCTGAAAGATACCTTAAAGGGACAGTTCACCTAAAAATACATTTTCGGTCATCATTTCACTTTACATCATGACTTTCTGTCTGAATAATTTATTTTTCAAAATAAACTGTTTTTGTCCATAGAATGAAAGTCAATGGGGTCCAAAAACAACACTAAACTCCATTGGTTTTCACTGTATATGGGGGGTGGGGGGGTATACATACAGTATTTTATTTTCCACAGAAGTCATACAGGATGACATGATTGATTTTGAGTGAAACATTCCTTTAAAGGGGTAGTGCACTTTTTTTTGGAAATAGGCTCATTTTACAACTCCCTCAGAGTTAAACAGTTGAGTTTTACCGTTTTCGAATCCATTCAGCCGATTTTCTGATATTTAGAAGAATATCAGTAACCAGACAGTTTCTGGTCCCATTGACTTCCATAGTAGGAAAAAATATATACGGGAGTTGTAAAATGAGCCTATTTCCCAAAAAAAGTAAGGCGTGTGTATTGTTCGTGTTTATGGAAGCCTCTATAACACGCTGTATTTTTATGGTGTTGGCAGACACTGCATCTATACTTATTATCAAAGTGAGCAATTAACAGTGCATGTTACATTTATTCAATTGGCAAACACAGCGTCTGTCATATGACTTCCTGATGCTCCCTCTGGAAAACCACATCCCACAAACTGATAACCGCTCAAAAATAGCCAGATCCTTCTTACTATAAAAACACAGATCCTTTAAAGGGATAGTTCATTCGAAAATTCGAATTTTTCTCGCTTTTTTACTGACTTTACTCTGTGGAAAATGATGTCAAAGAAGTTTTGTTTTTATAAAATGAAAGTCAAAAGGGTCCAATGTTTTGAACCTCATTGACTTTCACTGTATGGGCAAAAACATGAAAACATACTTCTTTGTGTTCTGCAAAACAAAGTTCATACAGGTGCGTAAATGAATTTGGGTAAACTATCCCTTTAAAGGAAACATGTCAAATAGATTTAAAACATTAAATAAAGCTTAATTCACAAGAGTCTCCCCTTACACTTACAAGATCCCATGTCAGTTAATACAAACACAGCATGCCAGACACCACAAGCCCAAAATGCAGTGAGTTCAAACACAGAAGAAGGTGCGATGGCAGATAAAACAACCCCTGAAGGAAACGTTCAGCCGTTTAGCATCCAGCTCTTGAGCCCCAGAGAAAAGCACCCAGCTTTGATACCTCTCTGCCGGAGTTAGCTGGAGCTAGGCACTCACCTTCATATCCTCGGCAGCGCCTGGATCTCGCAGCTGCATTGGATCCTCCATGAGGGAGCGCGTGTTTGTGTGTGGGAGGGTGTGTGCGAGAGTGTCACTCATTCTGGAGGGATCCTGGCTGTCCCACCACACCACCTGATTCTCCCACACTCTCGCGTTCGCACGCTTCTGTGCCCCCTTCTGGGGATGACAGCGAGCAATTCTTGCGTTTACAGGTCCAGGATATGATTAATTGATGTCTCTCTTCCTAGTTCCGTCTCTTCTTTTCCACCGTCGGTCGTCACTCTTGCCGTTAGGGATCAGTTTCTCGTTCTCTGCCGTTTAATCTCATCCACCTTCCTTGCATTCCTCCCTCCATCCTTCTTGACACTTCACAGCAAGCCAAGACTGCGTTCCTGGTTGGATGCTCTCTCCATTTTCCTCTGCTTCTCACTTGCTTTTTCTGTCCTTTAATAAATTCTGTCTTCCTTTCCTGTGCTCTTTCAACGCTCATCCTTCCTATTTCTGTCCTACATGCTCACTCGCTGACTGCTTATTTTGCCCAGATGCACTAAGAATGTCATGCACTCCCTCAGTTTTTTTCCTTTCTCACTCCCCAAATCACCCCTTCACTCCCTCATTCTATCTAAAACACTCCTGCACAAGCTGCAGAATTCAGCCCTCCTCCATCTCCCCCCATTGTGACAGTCCTCTCGCTCTTGCCACATACCTCTTAAACGCATGTGGAACCAATACAGCTCTCAATTAATAAAACTTCCCAAAAGGTTTGAACTCATAATGCCTTGTGATTGATATCTTCCAGCTATTAAAGTTCGAAAATTACAGTATTCCGAGGGGGTCATCAGAGGTAAAGTGAACACAGCCAAAAGATTTTGACTCCAAAAGTCCACGTGGAGTTGCATTACTCAGCGAGGAAAATTGGCAAGCTGTGCGCTGAAATGTCGTCCTCCAACGCGAGGCTTTACTCAAAGGTGGCTGCAGGTGAAATGCAACAAGTTGGTGCACAAGCCGCACGATTTAACGCCTACGAAATTCCTGATTCTGCAGAATAAGCGTGCCTGGGGGAGCTTTTCTGCACCTTCATGCCACAGCCAGCTGCTTGGTATAAATGATTCAGGTGCCTCACTGCCTGCAGGCAA